CATTTACTAACTTAGCTACATGTACAACCATCCTTGATTGACAAGATTAAGGAGGGTCAGGAAGGGACAACAAGCTGTGCAAATTGAGGGAGAATGTATGGGCCGACAGAAGTATCGAGTTTGAGGTTGGTTTAAAGGGGTATTGCGATGTGGGGATATACTGTGTACGCCTGCTGTGGATGATTTGAGGAGGACCATACTGACAGAGGCACATAGTTCCTGGTACACTACCACCTTGGTACCACCAAGATGTATCAAGACTTGAGATTGTTTTATTGGTGGGATGGGATGAAAAGAGATGTAGCCGACTTTATATCAAAATACCAGCAAGGTTATATCAGCAGATCGAAATACTAGAGTGGAAGAGGAGGGCATCACCATGGATTTCATGACTGGACTGCCCCATACCATTGGAGGTTGTGACTCCATGTGGGTTATTGTGGATCGACTGACCAAGACCGTGCATTTCCTTTTGATAAAGATGGGTTACAATGTATCCCAGCATGTCCAACTATACTTGGATGAATAGTATAGTTGCATGGGTGCCTTTGTTTATCATCTCTGATAAAGAATCCCAGTTTACATTTCGATTTTGGAGGGCATTTCAAGAAGCCCTTGGGACTCGGTTGGACTTAAGTATAGCATGTTATCCATAGACTGATGGCCAATCAGAAAGGACTATTCAGATATTAGACGATATGTTGTGGCCTTGTGTCTTAGACTTTGAAGATAGTTTGGAGTTAGTATTTGCTGTTGATAGAGTTTGCGTATCATAACAATTATTAGTCTAGTATTCAGATAGCCACGTTTGAGACATTGTACAATTGGTGGTGCCGATCGTCGATCAGTTGGTTTGAGACCAGGGAGTCGAGTCTGTTGGGACCAAATTTGGTTCAGGACATGGTGGACAAGGTTCAATTGGTTAGAGATAGGCTGTTTGTGGTGCAAAGTAGACAGAAGGCTTATGTGGATCACCGACATCATTCCTTGGAGTTTGTCGTTGGAGATCACATCTTTTTGAGGGTTTCTCAAATGAAAGGAGTGATCAAATTTGGTAAAAAGGGTGAGCTTAGTTCTCATTATATTGGTATGTATAAGAATTGGATTGAGTTAGAGCTGTAGCATATCGTTTGGCCCTTCCTCTAGAGTTGTCGATGGTACATCTAGTGTTTCATGTTTCCATGTTGAGGAAGTATGTGTCAGATCCATCGCACGTGACTTTGTCACAGGATGTCCAGTTGGAGAAGAATTTGTCATACGAGAAGAACTAGTGGATATTCTAGATCGACAAGTGAAATAGCTCCACTCGAAGGAAATACCTTCTATGAAAGTACTGCGAGAAGTTAGATCACGGAAGAGGTCACCTGGGAGTTTGAGGAGATAATGCGTAGAAATACCCGCACTTGTTCGGTATGTGACTTATTCTTCTGTTTTAAAATGCGAGGATAAATTTTTTTATGAAGGGAGAGAATATTATGGCCTTATTTAAATTTATTAGGGAATTTAATTAGGAGCTTAATTGTGAAGATTAAAACTTTTCAAGGGTCAAATTGTAATTTTAGAGGGCTTAATTGTAGAAATTGAAAGTCTGGAGCTAAATTGGGGAATCTAAAAAGCTTAAGGCTCAATTGAAACTATCGAAGACCAAATTGAGGAAATTAAAAGACTCATGGACTCAATTAAAAGTTCAAGAGGGTGAAATTGAAAGAAATAAAATATTAGGGTGCTGGATCTAGAACAAAACCCATGGGTATGGTCCAATAGTGGACCGGATAATGGAAGCCCATATTGTGAACATTTGAGCCACTTTTTCAAGCTTTTGATGGCTTTTCTATGTGCATTGGGTGATGAAAATTGGTTTCTTTCAATCAATTTGGGGTTTTAGAGAGAGATTGGAGGAAAATTTTAGGGATTCTTGGTCGACTAGGTTCACAGACGGCCGACTGATTCTATCTGGTTTTTAAAGCTCTTTGGATCAATTTTGATCCGATTAAAGCACCAAATATAGTTCGCCTGGCTTGGATTGACAATTCTAGGTTTGTAATCAGTTCAGGTAAGTGAGAAATTTGCTTTTTTGTGATTTTTAGGGAGTCTGGTTCTATTGTAGAACCGATTAAGGAACCAGGTTTGCAGTCAGGCGACAGGGATGAACTTGGATGGGGATCCGGGTTCAGTTGGGCTAGATCAGGTGAGGGATTGAACATGTGCCCGATGCCCTGGGTTGGACTTGGCCAGTTTGGGCCCAGTCCTAATTGGGCTCAGGCTAGGGAAGGCCCGAGCGGCTAGCTGCCCTAGTTGGGTTGGACCGAGCTTTTGGGTTGGGCTGGGCTGAGGGTTGACCCAGGTGGACATGGCTAGCCTAAGTAAATTCAGTGAGTTAACTCGGCCCAGTGGTCAAAATAATGAGTCAACTCTGCAAGTTGACTTAGTAGGAAAAAAAACTGTTGATTGAACTGGCCAATGGGTTTGACCGGCCAGTTCAGTGGCCATTTTGACTTGGATTTTTGAAGTTTGATCGATTTTGGATTCAAGATGGTGAGATGTGTTGAACAAGTTGGTCTAGGGGTTTAGGAAGGCCTAGTTTAATTGAACATTGATTGTTTTCAATTGAACTAGCAGTTCAGGGGTTCTTGAAATTGGTTTAGTGAAACTAGTTTAGCCCTATTTTAGGTAGTTTTTGACCTGTTCAAATCAATTTCTAGGGTTTTGGGGCCATGTCAATCCAATTTTGAGGGTTTCGTGACTAGTTCAGTTTGATTTAAGACAATTTTAGGCTAGTTCGAGGGTTGGAGGGTAGTTCACTATTGTTTCAAGGGCTTTTAAGGGTGTTGGTGAGTCTTATAGGTCTCCAGCGATGAGTAATGAGTCTTGGGATGCATGCTCGGGTCCTAGTGTGGATTTGAGCCCGGTTTTAAGTTATCGAGCCTTTTTTTTGTGCTGCATGTAGTGTCAGTTATGATTTTGTGTTGTTGTTGTTACAAATAGACTTGCAGAGGTGTACTCAGAAAGGTAAGTCAAGTAAGGGTGACATAAGATTTTCTTTTGCCTCGGCTTTTGTACTGTGAATGATGATACTCTCTTTATGCATGCATTTTCTATTGTGGTTTTCTGGCATGACTAATTATATGTTTTGTAAATTGTATTTTGTTTATGCTACATATGGGATATGTGCTATGTAATTTGTGAACAGTTAGTGAGTTATATTGATATGTGATATTGGTTTTGAGTTATGAATGGTAAATATCTATTCTGGACTTATATGTGGGGAGTCTTGTTATGTACTGAGATTGTGTTGCTTTGGTGAGCATGTTACCCTGGTAAGCATATGTGATTGTGTTACTTTGGTGACCATGTTGCTTTAGTGGGCGTGATGTGAACCCAATCGGGGACAACCATCTAATGTGGTTATGAAGCCATGAGGCTAGAGTCTCGTTATGTGATCGTTGCACTCCCACGTATGTATGTTTCGACACTAAAACTACTCATTGTATATATATTTATATATGTATAATTTTGAACTTGTGACTAGTACATATCTTAACATGCATAAATTAGATATTATCTGTACTTACTGAGTTTTGCGACTCACCTTTTATTATCTTTCCAAATTGAGATGACTGTTTGTATTCCAGTTAGTGGTGATTTGAGTTGAGCTCCGAGATTCGTTGATGTAGAAGCATGTTTCATTGTGTTATTGTTTTGTATTCTAGATTACTTCTTTATTTTCTCATACAGGATTCTAGTTTGTATTTAAAGATGTGAGTTTGTTTGTTGTGACTGGTACCACTGATATGATATGTTTGGTTTGATCATGTGTTATGGTTGTGAGGCTGACTAAGGTTGGTAGACCTTAGTGCCGATCATGACTGAGGTTGGGTTGTGACAAAAATTATCCAATATGATACTTACTTGTAAGAGATTCCAAAGTTAGATAAATTTTTATGAATTTCAACATTAAAAACTTTTTTTTATTAAAAATTTTAAATTTATCATGTGTAATTTGTTTGATTAGTTTAATTTATAAAATTTCTCTTAGTTCTCACCCCAAGATGAAATATCTAGCTCTTTCCTTGTGTGATATTTAAATATTTATTTGAGACGTTTAAATATTTTGTTCATGTTATAAATATGAAATTATGTATACTTAAGTGTTTTATTTATGTGATTCTGAATCATAAAATACGTCATGATTCACGATTCACAATGTAAAATTGAACAAATGATTTTTGATATGATGCATGATTTGACAACTATGTTCTCTTTTGGTGAGCCTTACACTAGAGCAAGTGCGTGAACATATTACTTTTGTTGTATTTAGATTAGGCTCCCTAATGTAGTTTAGACTTGATGTAACCCTAGAGTTGCTATACTTGGCCATAATAAGAATTTTATGTCACTATGCGTTGTAGTCATGTTGAATTATGTTTGGGAATCATATTAGTGACCGTAGTATATAAATTGCCAGAGTTCGTCTTAGGTATTTATATTATGTTTGGGAATCATATTAGTGACCGTAGGGTATATAAATTACCATAGAGCTCGTTTTTAGGTATTTATGTTGCTTATTTAACAAGGTGGCATAAATTTTGGAATGTCCAATTTTCAGGGGGACTGCTGAAAATTTATGAAAATTGTATACTTAGTTTATTCTATCATGCTCCTGTTAGGCTTGCTAGGGATTGCTAGTCTACTTTGGCAACGGTCAGAATCCTGTGTTGGGTCATGACAAGATTCCTAATTTTCTGAGTCATGAAGAGATACTTGATAATGCTTATTTTCTAGGCCAATTCATGATAGTTAAATGCATCACTTTGTTTACTGAAATTTCAATCCTATTAATAAATTGTTAATGGATATCAATGTAAAATTATAGTTCACATATTTCTTAAAGTAGCTTGACTTTATTCCTTGAGCTGCTACTTCCAGTCTTATATTTTGTATTTAATTTATTCTTTTTCTATTTATATTCCTGTAACTCTTTCTCAGAAAAGGAAGAAGAAATGAATGCATTCAAGGCTTATAAAGCATGTGTCCCCGTTGCATGGAGTCCCAACTTGTACATAACCTTGGTGAGGGGCATTCCTAGAACCAGGAGACTTCACAGGCGTACATTGGAAGCGTTGAGAGTTCGCAAGTGTAATCTAACTGTGATGAGATGGAATACTCCAACTGTAAGAGGAATGCTTCAACAGGTTTGGAAGCTGCTTTGGAAATCATATTTATTTTCTGCATGGGATATTAGCTTTTTTATTTTTTTTTTTGGTTACTAAAGTTCTTTTTTTAATAATTTAAATTTAAGGTTAAGAGATTGGTTGTGATTGAGACTGAGGAGATGTATAAAGCCCGGAAGGAAAAAGGAACCTAGCCACTGGGCTATACGTTCCCCTTTGGTTGTTGGCCACTTTCCGACTAGTGCAACTGATTCTTCCTAGCAACATGCTTCGTTGTGGTGAGTTCCCACCTTTTGAACATGGGATATCACGAAGACCATATTTTTAGTTTGAGGAAAATATCTAGTTCATTGTGAAATGTTATCAAATACTTCAAATCATTTGCTCGCCCAAAGTTTGTAGTAGTGGTGCACCTCAATTAAGCTAGTTACCCTGAAAAATATTCATTTCATGTGGGATTTTGAATAACTGATTATATGATAATTTTCCTTCTCAATGTTGATGTCTAGTCATAGATTATCTTGGTGATCCTTGCATGTTCACTTCATTTTAGTAGAGTTCTGTACGAATAAAATAAATCATCAAGATGCTTGTAAAAATCAACTATCTAACTCAAACCTTTGATTATTTCATCTGACTGAAGAATGAAGGTTAAAGATCCAAGTATAATGAAGGTACTTTTTTCCAACCATGGCACACATGTTGACATCCTTATCTAATAATGCTAAGTGTTTGTTCAAAGGACTGCTTTGGTTTAGAAAAATTGAATATGAGTAGGACTACTCTTTTCCGAGGTAGCATAAATATTCTTCTGTGCTGGAGCTAAATAATTACGCATTTTTCTCCATTTTGATTATTTGAAATCTCAATTTAGTCCCTGGACTCCCAATTTTACAAATTGAGTTTGCAAGCTAATACCGTTGCCTGAAGTTTACCTCTATTCCCATGCCACATGAACTGTAGTTAGAATCAATGTTCAAAAAGGGTAAGAGAGCTATGTGATAGTCTTCTTTAGGTGGCCCTCCGGACTCCCATGCTTATCTAAGTTGTTAGATTTATACTTCTTTCCCGTTTGAGCAACAATTTTGATTAGGGTTCATTTGAGGGCGCCATACCGTGTTGGCCACTAGACTGGAAAAAAATTCCATTAATAGGCACGCTAGACACTGCAAGAAAAATAGGGAATTTCAATGAAAATTTTCGACGGACGGTTTCCATCAATTCTCCAACGGACAGTTCCTGGAAATTTGGTGCCAGAAAAGTCGCTGGAGATGGTTTCTGATGGCTTTTTGACAGTGCCTCCGTGGAAAAGTCAAAAATTTATTTATTTTTAATATAAAAGTATTTTTCTGATGGAACCATGCTGAAGGTAGTGCATGTTTCAAACAGACATCTTCGGTCGAAGCATAAAAAATTAATTTTTGTTTAAAAAATATATTTTTGTGATGCAGGCATATGTCAGAAAAAAAAATTTAAAATAAATATTTTTATTTAAATGTTCTGATGGAATGCTACCATTGAAATTTTGTGTCCTTTGTGGACAAAGTTATTTCCGTAAGAAACAAAAATTACCACTGTGGAATCCGTGGGACCTGGATACCCATGTCCAATTTTTCAATGGTTCCAACGATGGTCCATCGGAAACCCCCTTCACGCCGGCCATGCTTTCCCTCTCTTTTTTCTTTTCTCTCCCTGCCCTTGCCATCCGTTTGCTTATCCACGTCCCTAGCCGTCCTCCCTTTCTGCCTCTCTCTCTCCTCCCTTCCCCCCTGCCATGTTTTTTCCTTCTTTCTTTCTCTCTCCCCTAGCCTCTCTCTTCCCTTCCCTTCCCTTCCCTCCCTCGGCCTCCCTCTTCCTTCTCCGGCCTTTTCCTTCCCTGGCCTCTCTATGATTTGCTACCACTTCCGTGCTGCCCTGCTCTGCCGCAGCATCTCTTTCAAAGAGGTGTTTAAAATTTTATAACAATATTCTTATTTTTTTTAAATCCAATTGCTCAATATTTTTTTTTCATGCATCATGTCAAATATGAAATTTTTGTATAATATTGGATTTGGTTGTATCTTTGTGTAATATGATTTTTGTGCGTTGTGTTTTGTGTAATATTTTCATTTATTAGCAAAATTAGTATTTCAACTATTGAGTTAAGGTATATGGGGCCAGTCCAAGACAGAAATCCAAGTTGGACTTTAGGGATCTGTTTTCCAAAACATAAATAAAAGGGATAGCTCTCTTGTAATAAAATAAATGCTCAGGTTAAAATAAATACGCCCAAAACCCCTTTCTTCTATCAAGAGAAAAAGATTATAACGAAAAAAAAAAGGTAGGGATAAATGGTTGGAGAAAAAAAATTCTCCCATAATAAAATTTCAGTAAAAAAAATTCTGATGAAATATTGATATAAATTACGTTCAAGGATTTTTTAAATGAATTATATTAATTTAAAAATTTTTATTATCTTCAAAATCCCAAAAATTAAGAAATATAAGTAACTGGGGAAAGGTGAGTTGGATTTATATTTTTATTTAGATATTTTTATGATTCTGGGCTTGTGAATTGGGTTTATTTTACTGAATTGGCTTTTGATTAGGAATAAGAATTTAATTTATGGGCTTATTAGTGGTTTTAAGAACTGAGTTTAGTTTTAGATTAAACTTATGATTGGGTTTATTTTTAGTGCCCAGTAATACTGCAGATTTATGATTTGATTTGAGGGCTAAGTTTTCCCAGTGTAGACTTACATATGGGAAGTGTTTGTAACAGGGGAAGCCTCTACTCTTTAACCTATAATACTGTAGATTTGCTTCCGTTTTGGTGATTTTTTAACCCTTTAAATCGAAAATCAAACCCAACTTTTACTTTTTTCTTTTTTTTAAAACTAATCTGAAACTGATCCGACAAACAAAGAAAAAATTTTTTTTCTTGACTAAAGACTTACCTCCAAGATTTCGCATTCACTACAGCAAACTTCTTTAGCCACAAAGTTGCCATAGTAAAAGATGGTTATTTATTATCACACGACACAGACAAACATAGACTAGATTTGAAGTTAAAGTGGAGGATAACAAGCTTTCAGGCCTTTCTAGTTTAAATAGTAGGATAGGAAGCCTGCATAGCTATTCCACAAGACCTTTCTCGGCACCAATATCCCTCTGCATCCGAAGGTAACCGTTCTCACCCCAGCCAGTCCCCCACGAATTCTTGATAAGCCAGTATTTGATGCCATCACTGCTCGTCCCATACCCGATTGCAGTCACTCCATGGTCTAGATTTGTTCCGCAATCTCCTGTTAGAACTCCACTCGAGTAGTGTTGGAAGTGACGCCCACTTGAATCAATGCAAACAGAAACTGGTTGGTTAGCCACGGCCTTTAACAATGCTTTCTCATTGTTCTTGGGCACCATCTCATAGCCCTTGAGCTTAGCTGCATGTGAGGCTTCCTTTTTCTTGTTGCAAGTTTGATCAGTTCCTTTGTATTGGCAGGTGGTTTCTGTAGCAATTCCCTTGTTATGCACGATGAATTGGAAGGCGCTTTCCATGAGCCCTCCATCACATCCCTCATCTTCGCCACCCTTGTCACAATCCACCAGTTCTTGCTCAGAGAGTGATATCAACTTGCCGTTTTGAGTTTGTTGATTCCTTCGGTGGCTGCAATTGCCGAAAATGCCCAGCAACTTGCTGTAAAACAAATAGAAATATTATGAACACAAAATTTTCTATAAGAGATGTAGTTAAAACATCCAGTCACAAAAGTATCCAGTCTCATATGTTGAGTATAATAAAATATAAAATTTAAACTCCACATACATTGGTGCTACGTAACTAGGGTGATTTTCATTATTGGGTCACGCTAAATAAGTTGATAGAGCTAATGACACTCCTCACTTGGGTTATCATAATAGTCCTAGTTGCATGAGGTGAGATTAATAAGTGTATATAGAGTGGCTTACCACATTCACCTTGGCCCTTAACTGCGGTGACAGCCCCCTTCTTCCTCCAATCCATGGTAAATGGCACTGAAGTCACGTTTTTGTATCTAAATGGTGTTGGCTTCGAGTGGCGGAGACATACTTTCCATTACGAGACTCCCGAAACTCTTCGTTGGTTAAGTCTGCAAACTTGTTGAGGCCGAGATTGTAAGATCGATTACCGGCTTTGTTAAAGGTCTCCATGAACTCTGCATTGTCCATGAATATCTTGAAGCGACTTTCTTTCTCTGCAGCGTCCTTGTAGACACGGCCATGTTTGGCCATCCATTGCTCGTGCTTCTCAGCAATGAATGCTTCACGTAGCTCGCGAGACGCGGCATGGGAAGCCACAGCCCCAATACGAACAAGATTGGCAGTATGAATTTTGTTTCTACTGCTAAACCCATCCTGCAGATGTTGCAATTACGGAGTACCTGATATTTTTACTTTGCGATTGGTTTTAGTTAAGCATAGGGTGACTTATGATTATATAGAGTAGCTATTGTGCTTTCCAGCCAAACCTTGGTTTTTTTTAAATTCTTTTGTTTATGCATTGACGAAACCCCATTCGAGCCAATTCAATGGCTGGGGATTATTATATAAGAAACCTTATTCATTTAAAAAGCATTTCTTGAAACTTATGTCATTTATCGACATGTAAATGATTTAACCATGCATCTTATTTTAATATTATACTTTTACATAGTTCGGCATCAACTCAATCCAGATATTAAGAAAAAAAAAAAAGAAGAAAAATAAGAAACGAGGTATTGAATCTGTCTTGGTTCTCAATGGGGTCCGATTCCGACTGATAACCTGGTCAGTTCTTAGACATGGATCTAATTAACTTGCAGGTTAGTTACACGAATAAAACTAAGATGATCTCCTCATCAGTTGTTGAACTTGTTTAGTACATTATCTTGAGGAGTAAATTAATGCTGAAAAGTAGATTAGTGAGGCGACGCATCAGAGCCCAAGGTGAGCTACTGTGCTCCTCCAAACTAACAATAAATTTAGTATGACGCGGTCCAATAGTCCATATATCAGATAATAAACTGTTGGAGGAATGCTTCAACAGGTTTGGAAGCTACTTTGGAAATCATATTTATTTTCTGCTTAAGATATTAGCCTTTATTTTTTTTTTTTGGTTACTAAAGTGTTTTGTTTTTTTTTTAATAATTTAAATTTAAGGTTAAGAGATTGGTTGTGATTGAGACTGAGAAGATGTATAAATCCCGGAAGGAAAAGGAAGCCAGCCACCGGCTGTACGTTCCCCTTTGGTTGTGGGCCACTTTCCAACCAGTGCAACTGATTCTTCCCAGCAACATACTCTGTTGTGGTGAGTTCCCACCTTCTGAACATGGGATATCGTAGTCTTGACTATAGCCGAAAGACGTAGAAAGGTAGACTTTCTCCAGCATTCGGCGTCCCCTCTTACTTCTTTTCTCCTCTTTTCAGTACCTCACCTCGGTGGCAAAACAAGATCCAATGCATTATTGGAACCTTCATGCCAGAGTTGAATGTGTTGAATTGATTTTAATTTTTTAACACGTCTCGCTGGTTAAGCTACCACAGAACAGTATCCATGGCACCCGACGGAGTTTTCCATTCCATGCCGGCTCGTTAATATTAGAGTCGGTTCCGTTAATTTAAGTTCTTGTAGAAAACTGATTACATGATATCAGTTTTATTGTATAGCTAAGGAAACGTAGAGTTGCATAGAAGGAGATTATTTTAAGAAAAAAGAAAAATAAATAAATAAATAAACAGAAAAGATGAAGAAGCGCATCAAACAATTACACTTGTCTAAAGACCAACGCTGTTTTTCGAAACATATTTCAAGCCATAGTTGTACATGTCCTCCTGACTATGTCGTATTTGTTTAACTTTTTTTCCTATTAAGGGGATCCATTTAGGAATCTCTATCAATCAGAAGAATGATAAATTATAAGGCATGCAGATCATTAGTAGTCGATAAGTACACGGGGCTGAAAAATAGAAAGCAGAAAAAATAAAAGGATTAACGAAGAAAAGTAATGGTGGGAATTAACATCATTTATGGAAGATTATTTTATTCCGGAGTAGGAATTCTTTTCTCTTGCTTTCATAAATTCTCCCAAAAGTGCGGAGAGACCCAATTCTTAATTTTCTTTATTCTCTTTAATATTCCCTTTATCATTTTGATAATCCTTCATCCTTTTAGAACCCAAAAAAAAAATTTATTTGCCTAATTTCATTTTTTATGTATTGAAAGTTTATTTTTTCCTAGTAATTATTTTTTATTATTTGGATAATTATTTCTGCAGCGCTACTTAATATTGAATTACAAATTATAAAATTAGAATTATTAACCAAAACTCCACCTTTAATCATGTCTCAAGTCTAAGAACAAGATATGACACATTAATATATTCTAAATTTATGGACTAAATTAAACAATTTATGTAAGTGGAGAGACCACTGTTGGCTTTGACACGTCTATCACAAAGGAATTTTGACCAGATCCAAAAAGCCTATAACAAGTTCTAGAACAAAATTAGTAAGGATGTGATCCATCAGCTCACCGACAGCATCATCGGTTCTTCTATTTGGCCGCAATATCACCAACCCATTATCCCGTATTCTCACTTACTTTAAAATAGATTATTTGATCCATTAATCCTTTTTTTTTTCTAAAAGAAAAAAACTTATGGGCTAATTCCAGGGTGGGTTCCAACGTGTACAATTTCTAGAATTTACTCTCAAAATGATAATAAAGTTACAAAGATGATATTGATGAAATGACATCGGAAGATAATATGCTATCCTATCAGCTATTCCGTGACCGAAAAGTGGAAGATGGTGGAAGTAAGTGGAAGAGAAAAGATTAGTTATTAAATTGAATTTAATTGTTAATTTATTATGCCACATGGGTAATCAGCTATTATCATTTAATTTATAAAGTAAATTAGGCTAGCAACAATAAGTAATGGATTTATTGATTGATGTTTTTATGATTTAAGTCTTACAAAGTCAACGTGCTGCTTTAAACTAAATAAGAGCTGACTAGTGCTTGACTTGCAAAGTTTGTGAAGTTGAGGGATGTCTTGCTTTCTTTTTCTAATAAGAGTGGGTGGGAATGACTTGTAAAATTCATAAAAAAAAAGGGACGCACTTAGCTTTTTTGTTTAAATTAAAACAACATATAAAGGAAATTGAACTTTTTTTTACATAAAAAATGTTCACGGTATCCGGCAAACATCTTCAAATTAAATATTCTTGGAGTTTGGCCAAATTCAACAGAGTATATGACCACAAATGCAGCTAATAAAAGAAATAAATAAGTAAATAAATCAGATGTAAAAGCTTGAAAACAGTTTTAAGAGCTACATCGTGAATGTAAATGTTGTCAATTAGACAATCCCTGGCATGTCAAAAAAGAAAAAGAAAGTAAGCTAACCCATATAATTGGGGTGAACTGTGAGTTCGGTTTCTTTTTATTTAAGTTGTTGAATTTCACTCCTCAACTTTAATTTTCGTGAATGAATATTCAGTTTTAATTTACTGTCCAACATAATTTTTTTATATTAATTCCTATTCCATTAGTAGGAGATTATTTTAATTTAGAATCTCAAATTTAATTTTATATTAAATATAAATATATTATATGGTGGGCCATGCAACTTCTATGATACCTCGTCACGGGCAGCTTCACTATCATATGGTAAAGGATATGTTTAAACATGTTTAGAAACATTTATTTAAAGACCTATAAAAATTTTAAATGATAGTACTTAGAGGGCAAAACCTCACATTGAAGTATAGAAATTTGTTTTTATTATCAATTTCAGTTGAATATCTTGCTCATGGCATTTTATAGTTATTTCTATTTAAATTATTCTTAAATAATAGAAATTGAAAATTAGTCTTAACATGAACTACTCGCAATAAATTTTGAAAAAATTTTAAGTATAAGTTAATAATTTTGTTATTTAAAAATATAATTTCACAAAATTTGTTAATTATATGGGATCCAGTGTTTTGAAATTTAAAAATGAAAAGAGAATTATAGTAAAATTTTTAATTATAAAATAGCATTATCACTTTAGTAAAAATTTACAATAAAATTACAAATTTTGCCTTTTTTTTTCTATTGTATCCTTGTCACCAATAAATCAAGTTTTTTTATTTGTTTTATAGGAGTATTCAATATTAATCCGCACTGATGCAAGAGAATTGTTGAGAGATTTGGGTTGGCGAGAGATCCTTTAAAAGTTTGAGTGTGAATGTATTTTGTTAAATAAAAAAATAGTGTAGCACTATTGTGTAGTGCACCCGTGGGTGCCATCATTCGCCAGGCACTAGACATTCTAGCACTTGCTACATGCAGGTGTCCGTAGCATGCATGGTGACTTTTTCTGTATTTCCCAGCCTTATCCAAGATTGTTTCCATTGAGGAAATTTATTTTTTAGTTTTCCTTCATCCATTGGATTCCATAACCCTTTAAAACTTTCTCTCTGTAGAGAAGCGAATTATTGATCATCAAAAACATCTTAGAAAAATAGAAAACACTTTCAACAAATTTGCAAATCTTACAAGAACTTCACATCAGGTAAAGAATTGAGGAGAGAGTTTATCTTCAACCTCAAACATTGGATTACTTTACCTTTACTAGCATGAAGGGTTCTCTCTTCACAATTGCTGTCACTCCCCACCCATCTAGCTACTTGGTAGAGTGCGATAGCTAGGGCAACAGCCAACACCTATCGGACGAAAATACGATAGCATGCTGGCTGTTGAACTCTTTCTGTTCTAAACTCAACTTGTACTTGCAGTAATATAATTATATCCCCAACATACCATTCACATCACAAAGCTACTACGCAACAAATAGCATATACTCTACTATCAACACCCATAAATAATATAGATACATCTCTAACACAAGTATAACTACATATCACATCATCATCTCATAAACCAAAATTTATGTACAAAGATCTCTTATACAAAATATGTCTCTCTGTAAATAACATAGGCACACCATTTCAAAAATAACTTTAGCTATTCAAAATATACTCTCAGTTATAACTAGCTGCCTCAACTAGTGAGTTATGAAGACACATGCGTAATGAGTGCAAGGGTATTAACTATATATGTTTGAAGCTGTAAAAATAATATAACGAGAATAAGATTCCCAGTGAATGGCATATAGGCTAAATTTAGGGAAATAGAGAGAATTTCATATCTATAGCATATAAATCCATTGTTTATAAACATTTATATCAAAGCAAAGCATAAACAAGAAATATCATAGCAAATATTTTCTGTTCAGTGCATATCAATCATATCCATAATCCATAATAAAGATCATCAAGAAACATGCTAAAGAATCACATCTAAATCATATTCATGCATAGGTATACAACTTTGATCAATGTGCACAGCCAATAATCTCTGAGAATAGTAAACTATTTAAATTATAAAAACTATCTAAATATGTCGGACGCTACTACAATGTGTAGCCTGCACCACGGGTCACCACTCTAGGGTAAGTTGACGTAGTCTATTGGGTTCTAAGACCCCATTGGGTCTAATGTCATGTACGTAGGACTGTCACTTATTCTATATGGCTGT